GAGAAGTCCTACCGCACTGACCCAGGTGCCTGCTTCCTCTGAGGAACTGCCTGTGTTAGAGAAGCCAAACTTCACCTCATATCACTTTCTCTTCCCTCTGCTTTAAACTGTAGTTAGTGATAGTGCTACAGTTTAAAGCAGAGGGAAGAGAAAGTGATATGAGGTGAACTGTAGTTAGTGATAGTGCTGCTTTGTTGAATAACAAAGCGCAGAGCAAACACAATTTGATTTACTGCGTGTTTGACTTCCATTTGCATGTGGACTCAGAAATTGACTGAAATAAATCAAGCACACTCAGGGTGGACTAGACTAATACCTGTCTAAGCATCACAGATACCTGCAGCTTTCTCAAGTGCTTTAGTTTCTGAATCCTTCAGTAGTGTCGCTTAAAAGCAACTGAACCAAAATGATAAAACACTCACCAAAGGAGTGCTGCTGACATTGACGGGTAAACAGCACAATGCTACTCAATTTCAAATAGTTTAAAGGCTCTGCGGTTGCATCAGAGCAGAATTTGGCCTAATATTAACTTTTAAAAAGTAGTTATTAGTATTACAAGCTTTTGTTAAGAGCTATCAAGACACAACAAATTCACTGCCACAGCTCTCACAGTTTGTTTTCCACAGATAGCTTCTGACTGCTAGTATGAGGTCAACTAAGTTTATGTTTGGTTCAATGCTTTGCAGGATTTTACCTAAACAATAGAGTCATGGTGCTGCACCATACTTGACTGTGAATGCATCTTTCCATTTCAAACACAGACTGTCGTGACGCAATTTTAACATTCAATACACAAAATATGTTGGCAATGCATTGTTTTGAGATGAATAGCTCTAGGAGTTGAGGGTAGCCTCCCTGCCATGCTCCTAATGATCACAGCATGTGCCAGATAAACCAGCTTAGCTCGAAGTCTTTTATTCCCGCGCTGCCATGTAGTTTGCATTGTCTTATCACCACACTCTACAGCCTGAACATACACTAATCAGAAAGCTAATGCACGGGTCCAAATTCCCATCGCAGTGCACTTTCACACTGACACATGATTATCAGTCAGTTTGAAAGAATGAAAGGTGTGTGTGGGGTGTGAATAACTGGGTGTTTCCTATTGAACAGGTTCTCAATGGGATCTTTTTCACAACAATAACTGCACACTACATGCAAACCATAACCCTCTGTGACGTGTAATGGAGCCTACATATTAGGCAACACTGTAACACTGTAAAGTACTGACTGAATATGCTTCATACAAGCTTTCACAGTTTCCTGGTGACCAATATGGCATCTTGAGATTACTTTAAACAAATATGGCTCCCCCAAAGCAAGGTTATGAATTCGTATTAGCCTGGAGGGAATTGCTTTTAGTGGGTGTGTGTTTTCACAGAGTTGGCTGGCTTTAATGATAGCAGTGGGTGACATCTTCAAAACACAATATCCCAATATATAATCCCAATGTTTACAAGCATATTTTGAGGGAAACAACAGTAATGTGGACATGATTACCACCACATGACAATTCACCATAGTGCAACAGGCAGATTTCCACATGATAACAAAAGTATTACCACTTAATCTATGTTACTTTGTAAGATATACCATAACAAAACTGCTAACCGTGTCTGTGCGAGCCAGGATATGTGGTCAAAACAACAAGTTGCCTTGAGCAAGAGACGACTCAAATGACAAATGTGACCTCTCACCTTAAGCCCAACAGAAACACTGCTACTCTGAACAGTATAATGTATATGACAACCATCTTGTTTGGGACCAAGTTCAGGCTACACATGCCATATGAACATCGATTTGACATTTGGATACCGTTTGCATTAGCAATGAGAGCAATGCTGGCTGGGAAACACACTGTGACTAGTGAAAACACATGCAAATAGACAAAACACGAGCAAATCACAGGCAAAGACTTTAAAGACACGTGTCACATTTAGGAAACGTGCTGCAGATAACAAAAGAACACAGGCAAGGTGAGTAACACTGCAAACTGGAAAACACGTGCAGACACAGGAAGGAAAGTGATTAATAAAAAACAACGGATGAATCAGTTACAGCTAGTAACATGGAATACAACTGTGTCATTCAAACTATGCTAGAAGAGTGGTTAAAAGATAAATTAATCTACAGATAATCATGATATTTGGGGCTATATGAACACTAAGTCTGTTTTAGATCTGTAAACTACCTTTCTTAGTAGATTAAACTGACATTAATGAACTTACGTAATTTGTGAATGCAAAAACTGCAGGAAGTTTGTGTTAAACAAGCAATTTGGATGAATTTTGAACAGATAATTTCCTGTGAATATTTTAACAATGGATGAATTCAGTGTGTTCCTCTCCCCGATGCTTGGCCATTGTTCTATAACCTTTCTGGTTAACTACTTACTACTATTAACTCAGGACTAGGCTCTTTAGCAGAGTGTGAAGGCTCTGTCAATATAGCTTGTGTTCAGCTCTTGACTGTGCCCTTATACTGAGAGTTTTTGTGAGAGTTAGTTGTTAGAGTTGTTAGCTGAACAATAATGTAAACTTTAAAAATGCAATTTCATTTCGTTTGCGTCACAGAAATGAAAGAAATGCTGGGATACAGACCTACTGCACATATATTTCCTTACACCCCATAAAATCAGAAGGCCTCGCGACCCAAACCCATGAAGCTTAGGCGATCCATAGTTGGGGGTCTCAACCCCCCAGACTGGAAACCAGTGCACTCAACCAGTGGTTCCCAACTGGTCCAGCCATGGGGTCCACACTTCTCTTTAGTCATTAGTTCAAGGTCCACCCAGTTAAATATATTCAAAGCCAAACTTGTGTTTGGCCATGTCGTCAAGCTAGTTTGCTGTCTCTGTTAAGCAGCTGTCCATTAATCACTCACTCTACACCAGGACACAGCACTTCAAAATAAAAGCTCTGTGCTGGAAATTCACTGTAGTTGAACATAAAGTGTGTTTTTTTACAAACGTGACACGTTTGCGAATCACTTACGACCCACAACCCACCAGATGGGAACCACTGCACTAAACAATATCAGGGCACATGCTAGAATAATGTGTTCTCCATTTGCAAACACAGTGCATCAGTGTTTGTACTGGCTGACCATGCACATGCAGGCTTCAGCTGAAGTAAATAGGAAATGGGGCAAATATTTGCAGGAGGCATGTGGCTAAAAATGAGTCAGAGTTGGGGCTTTGGTTAGAAATCTTCAGGGTTATTTACTCAGAGTTTACAAAGCTCGCTCCAGAGCCACTGAAGGCATTTAGAGTAACAAAAACACTGCTCTTTATGTGTGGCAGTTTAAGGCAGGGGTGTCAAACATACAGCCCATGAGCCCGTCAAAGGGTCCTATCCGGCCCACTAGATGACACAACCAAGGATGTCAAACATGCAGCCTGGGGGCCAGACCCAGCCCACCAAAGGGTCCAATCTCTGGATGAATTTGCACACCTAATGTTGATGCTCATGTGAAGCATGAGAGGTTTCAGGAGCAATTTAAACAGTGAGCAGATACTTCATGTAAAATACAGCTCTCTGAAGGAACAATGAATACTTTCTGTGGTCATATTTGAAGATATTGAACACTGTGCAAAATATTGTCAACCAGCAGCTTCAGTATGAAACAATCTGTATCAGACTTCTGTATTAAAACAATGTTAGTGGAACCCTGCTGCTGAGGCTCTGACAAAACTTCAGATTGTAAATGGTTTGTAAGGCAGGGGATGACTAAACCTGCTTCTGCAGTAGCTTCCATTTTAATGGAAAACTATGAAAGAACATGCACACGCAATGGAAGTGAAAGTTGTGTCTCTGGGGTGGTCAGGAGCAGCACTGGTGCTCCACAGGGAACTGTTTTAGCACCGTTCCTGTTCACAATCTACACAGTGGACTTTAAGTACAACTAAGAGTCCTGCCACAAAAAATACTCTGACGATACAGCTATTGTGGCTTGTACAGGAACCTCAAGGATGCCTTCAGGGGCTGGTGCAGTAAGTGCTGTCTCCACCTGAACACAGCCAAAACCAAGGAGATGGTGGTGGATTTCAGAAGTATGAGGTCACCCCATCAACCAGTCTCCATACAGAGGGGGGACATTGAGGTGGTGCACAGCTTCAACTATCTGGGGGTCCTCTTGGATGATAAGCTGGACTGGTCCTCTAATACTGAGGGGGCAGTTCTTCCTGCGGACTCTGAGGTCCTTTAATGTGTGTGTGGAGATGCTGATGATGTTCTATCACACAGTGGTGGCCAGTGCACTCTTATACACTGCAGTGTGTTAGGGAAGCAGTTTGACAGACAAAAACAACAAGCATTTGGACAAGCTGGTTAAAAAAGCACTTCACTGGTCCGGCCCACTTGAGATCAAACTGGGCTGTATGTGGCCCCTGAAGTGGAATGAGTTTGACACCCCTGGTTTAAGGTTTTGCTTTAAATGTTACACTGACTGCTGATACAGTGACATGTTGTCATGGTCAGTGATTAGGGGTCATGTTTGTCTGAAGCAGCAACCATCACTGACAGGGCCTTAGCATGTTGTTACTGTGTGCTTACTGTATCACCAACAGTTCCTAAAACTGATCAACAGGCCCCTCCTGCTTTATAATTCAGTCCACGAAACAGCTACATCCAGTTAGCATGTTACACAGTGTGCATGGCATAGTATGCAGCGATATAATTGCATGTAAGCAGCAGCAGCATCCAGCGGGACACCTACAACTGTCAGAGCGAAACGTCAACAAGGCTCTGAAGCCTGCCGACCTTAAATCCAGCCTAGCTAGCTGGGTAACTTCACTGACACCCAGCCGCTGCTGTAAGCTCTGCCGCTAATAGTCCCTGCGACACGGTGTCAATAAAACGTCTACATCGCTTTCTCCAAGCTGTAAAGGTCACCGGTGTTCCCAGGAAACACTGTAGCAGGCACCGTCCCGTGTTTCAGCCGGGCTGCTGCTAGCAGGCAGCGGACAAACACACACGCACCGTCCGTTAACGTTACATTACCTTCAGTGAAGAAGACTCCGGTGTCTCTGTCGGTGCCGCTCAGAGCAGGAACAGCTGAATATAAATATCCGCTTTGAGTTATTATAACCGACACGAGGGTCTGTGGAAGTGTACAATGGTAACAAACCGTATGGAGGTAGCACCTTGTGTTGCACTGACGCCAGTGTTACACCTCAGTGACGTGGAGACTCGCTTCCGCGTTGCAGCGGCAGGCCGCGAGCGTGCACAGCGTGACGTCCCACCTCCTCCTCTTCCTCCTCCTCCTCCTTCCTCCCATCCTCACACTGCTCAGCATCCTTCAGCAGGTGGATGGATGGACAATATCACCAATAAATCCATCCTCAATCGATCCTCTTTACACATACTTTATTAGGGTTTAACCTGCAGCCTTATACTGGATAGATTCTGGCACTCATTTTGCATCCCTAAGATAGCTATTTGCTCTCCTTTGGGGTTGTTAACATGTATAGCCAGGCTAGACATAAGGAATTAAATACGGGGGGAGCAAAATTATTCCACACTGGGCCCCTCACCCACACCCACTCCAGCACCATCATCACCCTTAGCTCCAGTACCAACACAGGCAATTTTAAATGGTGTCACTGCAATGAAATGGCTACTATAATGATAATAATAATAATAATAATAATAATAATAATAATAATTAACTTAATTTATATGGCACCTTCAACACATGAAATGCAGCACAATGTGCTTTACAGTAAAATCATAGAGCTGTAAAAATATAAATCATAAAATCAACTATGATTTTAAAAGAGTTGCAGCAGTGTGAAGCATAAAAAGAAAGAGTTTCAAACCTGTATCAGGAAAATCAGAGCTACTTAAAGGCTAAAGTTAAGATTCGTTTTTAGCTTTCTTTTAAAGATATTTAGCAAACTAGCTTCCCTGATATCTATAGGTAGTGTGTTCCATAGGTTAGGGGCGTAATTGACAAAGGCTGTATCCCTGATCTTCCTCTGGCTGTTGCTGGGAACCATCAAACCAGCAGCAGATGATCGCAGTGTACTATGGAGACACCACACATGAATACAGCTGAGCTCATTAAATCTACAAGTGTCTCAGTTTTCCACTCATACCCAATTTAGGCAACTCCAAGACAGTTTAGGGACTCCAGTGTGCAGAACTCCTCAAATGAAAGGTTATACACTTCTCAAATGCTAGGAAGAAGCCTGTGAACACTCCTGATGTTATCACTGCTCAGGAAGAGAGGTTACAGGTTGTCACTTGTTACAAATATCTGAGGCTGAAGTTTGGGTTTTATTTCAGAAACAAGTCCTGTGTCTCCCTTCAGGCCAGAAAACGACTGGTTGCTGCTACGTTCCTACCAGTTCTGGATCATGGTGATTTGTTGCACATGAATGCATCTGCACAGTTTGTACATGTTAGACACTGCATATCATACTGCACTGAGATTTGTTACACATTGTAAGGCCCTTACTCATCACTGTGCGCTTTATTCCACGCTTGGTTGACTGTCTTTGACCTTTCATAGGCTCAGTCACTGGTATTTGTTCATTTATAAAGCCATACTGGGTAAACCTTTGTACATTTGTACTTTTATTGAACAGAGATCTGACTGTAGCTACAGTCTGAGATCTCAAGACTTAAGACAGCTTTTATGTGCTCTGCTCCTCTCACTTGGAATAACCTTCGAAAAGATTTGAAACTACATGAATTGGCCTAATTTTAAAGTTCTCTGAAGTACAAGGATGGATGATTCAGTTGGTCCTTGTCATTGTGCATATGTGTTCTAATATTTCTACATTTACCGTGTAAATTTTATGTTTCTTTATTTGTGTGGTTGTTTGGCTGTAACTTTTTGTGTGCTGCTGTCTTGGCCAGGTCTCCCTTGTAAGAGATTGTTGATCTCAACAGGACTTACCTGGTTAATATGGGTTAGATAAAATAAAATAAAATAAGATAAGATGAAATAAAATAAAATAAATCAAATTAAATTAAAGTGAATTAAGTCAAATTAAAAGGGCAATGCCATTTTTTCCCTTACCAAAATGTAGCCCAACTTTGGAGTGTTATTTAGCCCCTTCCCGAAAATATAGCTTGACATGGTTAGTACAGACAGATGCCTCAGGTGGCTTCGTTTCATATAATACCAGTATCTTCCCTCTAGCAGTAAAGCATTCGCCTGTCATACCTGGTTCTGCTGCACCCTTTTTGATGCTCCTTTCATGTTCTTGTTCTCTCTGTACGCTGGTCTTTCTATTTTGAGCCCTTCATTTTTGATGAGACATTTTGACTTAGCTAGTCTGGCAGCAGTTCCTTTAACATCTCTACATGAGCAACACGTGTGTTCTGCACATCTGACCCCAAGTGTTCACGTGAAATGGTGCGGCTGAACCTCAATCTCAAATGCAATAAATTATTAACTATGTGTTTGCATATTCAGCATGTATATATTGGTGCTGTCAGTAACTGGGTCAATATGTTGTTCTTGATATTTTTATTTTGGTGAACATTCTCAACACCTGTGTGTAATATTCTCTGCTGTAAAGTCAACATTCCTGTGTATTGCCAGTGTTATACTGAATGAATGAGCAGTGTATTTAATTAATGACACACAAAAGATGCATGAGTGAGTTAATTGCAAACTCCTGGCAAAAGTGTTACTATGGTGTTAACTTCTTATTCACAATATTGCTGTGTACTTTTTTTGAAAGCGATGCCTGAATTTACAAGTTAACTAGAGGGTGAGACAGTGAAAAACATATTGTGTTTCAGTGGATGTAAATGTTATTCGTTGATTACAATTGTTTTTGCTTATACTGCTTATATGGCTTCTACTGCTATCAAATACTCACGTGTAACCATTGTATATTCTTTTGGTGTACACACTTTATTTACAGCATTATTTTGTTATATGTATATTTTGACACGCAAAAAAAGTTGGACAGCTTTCCTGCTGAGGACTGGGAAAGAGCCTGCCACCATGTATTGACTTTGCCCTGTGCTTCTGTTGTAGAATTAACACGCAGATCCTGATTCGTGGTGTGAATGATGCTCTTCAGCCTGTGAGCAACCATTTTACAGCTGTTACATATGCACACTCATCCAATTCAGTGCCCTCAGGTGTTATATCAGGGCAATGTTGTATAATCTTTAGTCTCCTTAGTTTATTTTTGGCTATTGTCTCAATACACTAGATTGTTACACTGTGTGTTTGTATGTATGGTAGATTTTTATCTAAGTTACTAATCCATGTTTGCAGTGATACTTATAAAGTTTTTCCCTAGCCTAATTAATTCTGTGTCCCACTTAATCTCTAATTTTGTTTTATGTGCAATCAACTCATCTTCGAAAGCAAATGTCCCAGTGAAACTACAAAGAAGTATTAAGACATCCTAAACATGCCTGAACAGCTGAACTATTAAAAGAAAGATTAAGGTTTTACTGAGTTTCCGCAGTGCCAAGATATGTAAACATGAAGATCTGTGGTAGTTCTCAAACATGTACTGCATGCAAGACAGCATTTCTTTGTTTCCTGATAAAGGGCTTGTTGCGGGGAGTTTTCTTTATCACAATAAAAGGGCAAAGTGTGTTGTATGCTTTATAAAGCTCCATGAGGCAAATTATGGTTTGTGATATTGGGCTGAATAAATAAAATTGACTTGACATGTTTATGCAAGGAATAAATTCCAATGCAAGAATTGAAAGACTCATGTTTAAGGGTAATAGGTTTCACAAAGTGGTATCAAACAGCCTGCCTGAACATCTGCACATTACACCTCTGCTAAATTAATCTAAATCTAGAGTAACAACACAACAGCTCAAATAATTTAACAATATCATTAAAGAGACAAAGTAGATTTAAAAACACACTAGTTTTATTTGATGAAGTCCCCACACAGCAAATTAAAGAGTGTAGCATTTCCAGGAATCAGAGCAGAGAACAATATTTCCACATCTTTACATACTACACATACAGAAACCCACCACTTACACACCACATCCAAAACCTCTGGAGAAAACACACAAAGACAAGTGCACTGTCACTAATTTAGAGTTCAGTTCAAAAACAAACACATTTACAAATCAAGTAGTGTTTAAACTTTGTATTGAGGAAAACCCCCACTTTAAACCACAAAGTAAACTATAAACTAATTACAGTGCAAATTGTCTCGATAGGCTTATGTCTGTCTAAACGCTTTTCTACAGCCTGTTTCATAATATTGCACATACATTTAAGATACACACCTGCAGAGCCAAACACTTGCTGACATGCTACAGATTTTTAAAGTGCTAGCTTGGAATTAGATTGAGAGCCAGCCTGCAAAATATTTGGTTCTAAATTCGTTACTAAAAAAGCAGGCTAGGATGCATTTTACTTTAAAATCAGATGAGTTGTTGAAATGACAAGCCTTTTATCAGATTTCTATAACTACAAACGACTGTGCTGTGACCCCGAGTGGAACGCGAACCAAGAGAAGAAAACCAGCGAACATTCAGCGGTAAGAAAGAGGAATACATTCTGTGATGGAAATAAAAACGTGAACCTGCCCTGCCAATTCATTTATGCATAGACTTGTTTTAAAGATGTTGAAACAGTCAATTTTTAAAGTACAGGGATCAGGGTTCAGGCCTGTGACCTCTGAAAAGTGTAGTGAAAATAACAGAGCAACACCTGTGAGACAAAATATATGTACAGTCACAGAAATCCAATATTTCTTTTTTAAACTGGAGAAGGTTTCTGTCCGGCTACATGAAGCATTGAATGTTTAACCCAGAACAAAAACCCATAATGTGTTCCACACTATATATCTAAACACATTTAAACTGACTTAATCAAACCAACACCACAAAAAAGGAGGAAGAAAAGGTTGTTAGTACCATTTGAGAAACACTCCCTTGACAAAGGCAGCTGAACAGGTTACAGTAATTTCCACCAATAGTGACACACATCTCGTTCCACAAGCAAACACCAACTAATAACATAACTATTTAAGATGTACTTTATTTCACTGAAAATAATATACTCTGAATTAATATGTACATGGAAAATAAATCAAACGTTCTGAAAGATCAGCTTATTATCTGACGTTTAAAGAGAAGGCGGAGATATTGAGCTGACTGTTGCGGACAAAGCTGCAAATCAAACCAAACTTGTTTCTGCGAGGAAAGGTACAGTAGTTAAGGTTTTCCAGGCCTGACGGATAGAGGTAGGTAGCATTGGGGCCCCAGTCAGGGCCAGAAACCTGAGAAAACACGCACACACCGATTACCCTAACCCGCCAGAAATCAAAATATACATGAATGCACAAACAAACCAATGTGCAGGCACATATACAGTATATGTCTATACAAAAACAAGTGCGGTCGCCCGGCGAAAAGTCTCTCTAGTGTGCTCTCTCAGACTTAAATATCTGAGCTGATGTAATCAAAGCCAATCAACCACTTAGGTGATCTGTCTGATAGCCAAACTCAACGGTGACATCCCAATATGCTACACTTTGTGTGTCTGCACTGCAAGTAAACGGTGGTTTTGATAGCAAAGTGTGTTTTGTGATAGCACTTTCTGTAAGAACCTGAATAACTTTTTTTTGTTTGTTTTTAAACTGTGTTTAAAGGCTGCTAGGCCACAGAGCGGTATGTTGCACTTGAGTCAGCACCAGAACCAACACACTTTGGCTATGAGTGACTTTGCAGCTGTCAAACTGACGCTGACAACAAGTACCCGGTGGTCTGGTACCTGGCTGGTTTAATGGTGTTGGAGTCACATTCAGTGCTGTGCAAACAGTGAGAGGCTTTAAAATCTAAGCGACTACTCCAAATGTGAACGCTTTTTGCGAGCGTGAAAGCGTGAAAGTGTGAAAGTATGTCTACAATGTTTATCGTGAAGAAGCTAACTAGGTAGTGATCAAATGTGATGATTATCATGTGCGCAGCTTCATTCATCATTGTGCAAAAACAGCTGAACATAACTGTGACAAGGAGGAAAAGTAGTGTTAACTGTGATAGAGTCAAGAGTAAATAGGTAAGTATAATGAATAATAGTAAGGTTATAACTTTGACACCAGTGTCTGTGATCAAACCACCTACAGTAAAAACACATACAGTATTTACGTTGAGAAGTATTTTCATGGTGCTTGTGCAATGACACTAAACAGTAAGGGACCCATTTCCTATGAAAAACAAAACCAAAAAAAAAGGCACGAAGGCGCTAGCTTTAAAGTAGCTACAAGGCTCTCAGGTCCACCAAGGTTACATCTAAATCTATGCTGCTACGTTTCGACAAGTAGTTACAGAGAAGAGCCAGAAAGATCACCCATAATTAATACACACACAAAATAATCTATAAACATGTACCTGGCAAAAGAGGAAGTGTAAGTGTAAGCTCGAAGGCGTTTCATGTTAAAACAAATATTTAAAGTCGCTGCAGATTAACTTCGCAGCTAATTGGACAACAGCTGATCATAGCTGGCGATTAAAACCATGTCAAATACAATAAAGAGAGAGACTTTGGTATGTAGAGAAGACCTTTCACATACCAACCTCTGAAGACCTTTGTATGTGGACACTAATATGCAGCGTCATACTCTTGTGTATGCATCATACATTAATCATGCCAACTCTAAATAGGCCACTCTTTAGCAGAGATCCCATTTTCACATTTAGGACTAAAGGCCCTGATCACATCTGCTTCATCTGACCTTCAGAAAATCTATTTGGATTGTACTCCATCACCCTGTCAATAAAAACCGCTCTTCTCAGGACACGCCAAAGACTAAGCAGCATCAATGTGCTTCGTCCCTCCTCAGAAGGTCAGTCTCTTAGCGGTGATGAACTCCTCCAGTTGAACCTTGCCGCTGCCCATGAGACCGAAAGCTGGATACATTGTTCCCGAACAATCCACCTGCCTCTCGTAAAGGCACCTCATGGTGTCTGCATCATAGAAAAACACCCGGCATGCGTCGTAATCTAGGCATACACCCAAGCGCTGTGGCATGGGAAGCACGCGGTTGCCGGGGTCACCGGCTGGTGCGTTTGCAGTGGAGACGGAAGAGGATGAGGAAGCCTTGGGGATGAAGAGCTTGCCCATGCCGAGGGTGAGGAGGGTGAAGGGCTGGGAGAGCTCATAGCATGCGTCTTCACTGCCGCTGTCATGCCCACTATCATGGTCATACCTGGTGAAGGGAAGAAGGAGACGATTAATGGGCATATAGACTTAAGGTTCTTACAGTTTGTTGCAAATGTTTTGAAACCTATATTATGGCCCTGACACACCGAGCCATCAATTCAAAGAACTAAAGACATCAAAGAACTAGTGACGAAGGAGCCCAATTGTTGTGGCGCTTTACGTAGCCTGTGTCTTGGCCAAAGAGTGGCACATGAACACACACCATAAAGACTAAAGACAATGGCCAGCTATGCACCTGTGTGAGATGAAATAACGCCAATGTAGCAGGCGGCGATAGACTGTGTTCGTCATTCAAAGAGGGAAACCAGAGGACAGCTTCAAGATACTAGTTAGCTAGTTAGCACATTAACAACACAACTCAATGTAGAAAGAACGAAGGATATTTATCGTGCACTAGTGAACAATGGCACAAACAATCATAAACTATTTTTTGCTGAAGACCTCAGTGGCAAATACCGCAATCTGACCTGATAATACGTTTGCTTTGATCTCATGCCCTCTTAACTTTAGAAACTAAAGTGAGGAAAGTAAACAACTGGCTAATGTCATCAACTCAGCTACACTGCCAATCAATCAGAGCAATTTCATTCACCGACAGGCTCCCCCAGCCTCATTGCAACATGTTTAATCGGCCAAAAAACAGGCGTCAGTGGCCGACGAGTGCTATCTGTGCAGGACACACTGCAAAAACTAGGGCAACAGACGCTCATCGATTGCCTAACATTGACTGATGGCTGACTACCAGCTTGGTGTGTCAGGACCCTTAGAGCCAGGATCACAATCATGTGTAAAATAGGAAGCAGGTTAAAGATCCGTCCCAACACATCCTAAGTGTGTGAAGAATCAATTAATCATTTGGTGTATAAAATGTCAGAAAATAGAGAAAAAGGCCCATCATATTCCCCCAGAGCTCAAAGATGATGTCTCCAGATGTTTTGTTTTGTCTAACCAACAGTCCAGAATACACATGCATCCAATTTAAAATCAAAGAAGACAAAAATGAACAATTATTAATATTTATATTTCAAGGGACTTGAACCAGTGAATTCTTGGCTATTAATTGAGAGCTGCATTAACCTTTGATGTTAGCTGTTTTACATTAACACACTGCTGTTACTTATACTTAGAAAAGCGCTATATAAATCCAATGTATTATTATTACTTATCTATTCCTTTCAAAAACAAAAAAACGACAATAGCAAGAAAAGAAGGACTCGTGATTTTTCAGGCATTTTCTACAGAGGGAAAAATACACACTCACCCTCCAAATAACTAGTTGAATGCTGCCCACTGTTTATCACTTTGTGTACATTATGTAATTACCATAGATTTAACATGCATTTGCGTAAATAAATGTGTTCCTTTACATGCTTTTACATGAGCTGATCCTGTGAGAAAGGCAGGCTTTGTCTGAGAGTAAGCTCTTTACAAGTTTATACTGGTTCTCTTACATCACAGGATTAGGTATGACTCAAACACACTTATCGCTGTGCTGAGATTGTTTGTCTGTGCTGCAGTCAGGTATGCAACGGTAAACAAACAGAATTTGTACAGTTTAATTTCATCACATGTCGACAGATTGTGGACAAATTGTATATGACAGCTGTGTGTCCTGCACACTTGCAGTTACCTTGGGCTGCTGGTATCTCTGGGATTGTGGAACCATTCAATCAGCTTCGAGTCAGAGGCCACTCCAACTTTAACCATGTAGGAATACGGCTCCACCTTGAAGGCCCAAAAGTGTCTGAAAAACATGCGGAGCAATTACTTTTTACTGCAGGACTACAAATTTAATGATCCATTGTTGAGATAATTTTCTGATGTGTCCTCTGACAATCCTGGTGCAAAACATCACCTCACTCTCTGAATGAAGGTGAAGACGATAAAGACTGGCAGTTTAATAATCCCACCACCTTGTGCTCAAAAATAAAGTTCCATCTCTACTTTCTCTCTCTTGAATATTTTATATCCAGACAGCATGACATATTGGTCGTCTAATGAGCAAGAAACCAGAAGGCTTTCACACTGCATGCTACAGTGCCTCTGTTCTGTCGTTTTTGCCTAAATTTAACTCTAATTATCAGATGATTGTACAGCTCATACCCTTTTCCCCAACATTTAGCCTCATTTTGCAACATTAATTTGTTAAGCAACAAATTAAATATACTGCTGATCACAACTTCTTTTTTGCAAACTCCCAGTCTTGTCAGTTTTCAGCGTACCTTCCCTGAGAGATGCCCGTGTCCCCAATGATGTAGTCGAGTTGCATGTAGCTGCCCGTCTGCACACGCTCTGCTGCAAGGAGGAAGGCCATGCTCGCTACGCTCTCCACAGTGTCCCGTCGCTTGTTCAGAATGAGCCGCTCCGTGCTGAAGCCACACTTGTCGCTGAACAGGAAACCAAAAGCTGTATGTGAATAGACAGGGGGCGAATGAGCCAGAGGATGGACAATGGGAGAGAAGACAAAAAGACAGAAATGTGGACAAAACAGGGGCAAAGGAGGGAGGAGGAGAAAATATCAGAAGAAAGAAATCATTAAGCTCAGGGAAACAAAAAAAATGTGAGTGCACACAACTCATGCAAAAGACAGTTGTTTATTCCCTGTTAGGGAACTGGAGCTGGGTAGGTAAGAAGAGCTGACACATGAGGGCGCTATAGCACAATCTTAAAGCACTACACAAGGATATACTTGCCATCATCATCACACTGTGAAGAGTAACAGCCATGAAACTCTATCCTCATTTCTTATGTGCAGCTGCCATTTATATTCATCATCTGGGTGCAATTAAATGCATTCTATAAATAGTTTGTGGGCCAAAGGCCACGATTACAATAATCCAGGGTACATACAGGCTAACATGATTATGCCTGTTCACTCAACCGTCCCATGCAATCCAGGGTCTACACTGGGGAAGACCGGTTAATTTGCATGCGTCTAGGGAAGTCCTTCCAACAACTAGGCCATGATAATGATAATAGTATTACCATGACTAACGGGTGAAAAGACAATGCTGCAGCTATGTAGCAGGGATGCACCGACAGTTATCTTGTCGAGCTAAACTAGAAGCCTAAAGCCTAATTTTTTGTTCACCAACACTAGTTGTGTTCACTCAAAAAAATAAAAAATAAAAAAATGGATCGGCTCAGCTGAGGTTTTCTACACCCATGTTGCAGAGAACCTGTGACAGCTGCTCCGTGCTGTAAATTAATGCTGCCAGTCATTAAATAAATAATAAAAGAAAAATGGGGGCAAACGTAATTGCTGCAGCATGAAATTAGTCCCAAAGCAACGATATTTTAATTTGACATGCAGTGAAGAAGTAGATATTTATAGTATAGATTTTTTTTTTTTTTTTTTTTTAAACAGTGAGTAAGTGATGAGCACCTGGGACAGAAAACTGTGTCTCAACCACAATCAGACCTTGAAATCTGTAAGTTCAGCATCCATGGGCTCAAAAAGGGTTTTTTTTTTTCCAACACAACCAGCATATTGGCTGTTAGACATGCTGGGTCCATGCTGGGTTATTACTCATCAAATGACTCAATCCAAGGCTCAATCCCAAAACACTCTCTATCTCTTAGCCCTACCCCTTCGTTTTGCGTGTTCATGTCTAGGGGTAGGGTGTCCTTCCTTTGGGGGGCTTTTTGCCTTTATTTGATTGGACAGTCATAGCGTGAAAGAGGAAGAGAGAGGGGGGATGACATGCAGCAAAGGGCCGTGTGTTGGAATCAAACCCACGGCCTCTGCAGCAAGGTCACAGCCTTTGTACATGAGGTGCCTGCTCTACCAGGTGAGCTAGTGGGCACCTTAAGCTGTCCTTCTTATTCTTGTGGGGAATAAAGGGGTAGAGCAAAGTGTTAGGGCTACAGGGTCCTTCAAATGGAGGGTGTCCAGAGGCACACTTCAAACCAAGTGTTATGAGAAATTATCGGCAAGATGGCCACACAAGCAATAAAAGAAACTCGCAAATGTACCGTCTTTGTTCATAGAAATGTAAATATTACGATAACTATTGCATTATGCTCTGTCAGTGTATTATGCTTTTTTACTTCATGACAACCATTAAAGAAAAAATCGCTAGTGGTATGCTGATGTCTGGGTAGCTTGTGACGAGAGACCATCACAGTCCCATATTCTGGCATATTTTTATGTCCCATTCCTCCCTTGATGGCATAGGATGCCCAAAATTTAACTGTGCTTGTTACCGCTCCTCTGCTACTAGTGCAGACTGGCAGGGTAGGAAGACAGGCTGTTAACATTACCCTTCAGAGTATCACATGGCAGTGTTCTTTTTTATTTGATGACATGTTTGATCCAATGATAGTGTGACAGTTAGTTGTGAACCAATTGCTAGCGTCCATAGCGTCCATGCTTTTCTATCTCCATCAGATAAATGGCAAATGTCACTGTGATAATACCATCACTGAGATAGTCACGTTTTTTTAAGTAAACCCTATTGATGTTGATACTGATGACATATCTGGGTCTTAGAGGATTGTCCCATTTCATAGGGGAAGATTTCAGCCACTACCCCTTGTAACTCTTTTCTGGGGGACAAAGGGACCTTTGAAAATGAGGAGTAGAGGTAAAAACAGGAAATGGGATTGGGCCCAAGACTGACAAACGCGGATGAGCAAAGACCTATGGGTATGGCCGTACACGTTTGCTGTCTGTAACTATGTCCACTCATGCTTCGTCATGAGTAGCATTTTTTGTGTGTGTGCGCGCCAGTTCATGTTTTGTCCTCTGCCTTTCACCCTGGCCTGAAATGTCACCTCATTACTGACGCACAGTGACTCCATCCACCCAGTCTTACACGAACCAGAGAGCACAGGAATGTGGAAGCTCCCATCACAACACAAATGACAAGGCTTGTGCAGGGAGTGACGTGTCATGTATGCATGTGTGCAACAGACTGACTTTGATGCAGGCTCCTGCCACGGGAGGGGAAACTGGGGAGTCTGGAGTGTGTCAAAACTAAGTGACAGTACCACAGAAAAGACCTCTGGAAATCCCAGACTTCTCTCTGACAGTATGAATAATCAGCGCAACCAGTGAGGAGAATGAAATAATTGCCGACCAGAACATGAATCAAAGCAACACAGTCCCTTACTGGGCGGATAGGATCTGAATTCAAGTTCAGCAGATGGTTGGGGAGTATGATTGTTGTTAATGAATTCCGCTTTGCGTCTGTCAGGCATGCCTAAAATGCTTGCAACAGATACAACTGCAGGTTTCTTTTCCAAGCTGTTGCGCTGTACAGCACCCTCCACTCCCACACACTCAGACAAAACCTATATTGGTTTCAGCCATCTGAGACAAAAGCCATCACCATGGTGATAAACTAAAGCGCCATTGTGCTTCATTACCTCCGTCGTGCAAGAGTATTCTAAATTCAAAAACAGTGAAGCATCTGTCATCTGATAGTCTTTCCTAAAATCCAAATGCAGAACATTCAGACGTGCTCAGAGAAATAAACGGGTTAGAGGAGCTTAGCCGTTGCTTTGGCCAAAAGAGGCCCAATAACAGGGGCTGGTTCTCTTGTATATAATAACACTCTGTCACTTCATTAACACACTTAGCATCAACAACAGTAACAGATTGAACTGATTGAGCTTAATGAAAAGTTTCTGCCATTGTTTTTGTCTTCAGGAATTCAACCGACATCTTCACATTGCCTCAACATTTCTCTTCCTCACGTTCCCTCCTCCATTTATGTCCAACTTAAGACTCAAAGGACGGACCAAGAGCACACACCCATCATGGGGGAAGAAAAGGGAACAGACATGTGCAGCAAATTAACTGGAAACTTCCCCCTGCTTCTCAGGCTTACCCGGTGCAGGAGGAGTGTGGAAGGTGACTTCAGGGCTGTGGGGGCTGAACATGGAGTTCCTGCAGCTTCGGACCCTGAAGGCGTACAGGCTATCAGGGTCCAGGTCACACACCACAGTGCTGGGACCATAAACCCTGTCTGTAGCCCTCCAGACACCACTGTCCTCACCATCCTCCTGGGACGGGGATTGGCCCGGGCCTCCGAGTCTGGAGAAAAAGAAGTACATGAACAAGTCATTTAGATTCTTCCACATAGCTATAGCTTGTCTGGGAACCTACACAATCCTCCACTCATCTCTTGCTGGTATTTCTTTGTATGTGTGCACCCACCTGCGGTATTCAAGCACGTGGTGATCTGTAGGTAGGTGATCGTCAGACAGCCTCCAGCAGATTGATGCCTCATTATAGACTCTGCTGTTGGACAAGTCAATCAGAGGAGGGTCTGGAACTGGAGAGGAGTGAGAAAAGAAAAGCAAGATAACAAATTAGTAAAATGTAAATCAGAAATTGCAAGATAGTCAACGTAGGTCATCCTCTAATAACTTACATATAGTAAATAAACAAGAGGTACTAAAAATAGGGATGGGAATCTCCAGGCGTCTCACAATTCAATTCTGATTCAGAAGGCTACGATGCATTTATAAAATGATTATTGATGCATCTTGATCATAGACTGTAAAAATAATGAATGTAGCAATGGTGACATCACCCACTGGTTTGTGGAATAGCATTTTGAAGCCTTGAGTTTGGCATTTCAGCCATCGTCATTTTGGATTTTTGGAGTCAGAAGACATATTTGGACAATAAACAGGAGCTGTGGAGGAGTGAGGGGTGGATCTGACTGAGAAGCCGAGGACACTATCGGCAGACAGCCTGTAACTCAAAGTGGCCTGCCCTTCATTATGTGTAACTTTAAGCCTTGATAAAATGTAAACAGGTGAGTTATCAAAAACTGTAACCACGGTTGCCATGATGGAGAAAATTAGCTATAGAGAGCGGAGTGTTTTGTACCAGGCTGTAAACATGTTTATTTCTGCTGTAACGTCGTGCATTTTAACATGGGGGTATGGGGATTGACTTGCTTCTGGAGCCAGCCTCAAGTGGCCATTCACAGAACTGCAGTTTTGGGCATTTGCGTGTTGCCGCTTGATGTTGATGCATCAAATTTTGTTTTAATTCCTATACATGATTTAATTCCTTTAGTTTTTTCCTCAAATGTGGGCTGGATTGCATCCATCTGCAGTGCACTGCATTGTCATTTGTCCATTTTCACCATTGGAGCCATGAATTAATTTAGGAAGGAATGGATTTTGTAAGATAAGTAAGTTTTGGGATGGTTTATATTTCTGTATTGTTATGTTTTTGGTTAGTGTTTTGGAATATTATATATTTTTGTGATTGGGGTTATTGGGAGAGTGGGGTCACACGGGTATGGGCGGTGACACTCTGTAGTGTCATAATCTATATCAGCATCTCATCTTCACCTGTGTGGGGTTTTTTTTTTTTTTTGGTTGTAGAGAGAGGGTGAGTGGGTCACTGTATTTTTTGTTGTACGCACTTTTTTCACTGTGATCATTTTGATTCCAAGTTTGTGCACAATATAATAAGTCAATTCTTTTTCTTTTACATGTATTTAACAAATTCTTGGATCTCAGTGGATCTTTTGTTGGTGTGTCAGACAAGTTAACCAGGCCCAGCCTCTCAGCGACTTTTAGTTTGTTTCCTGCAGACCCTACACTTACCAAAACTCAAAAAGCACCCTAGTTTGGGATGTTAACATGATGCACATGTTTATGTTCATTATGTTTTACCATCCACATTGACTTTTCTGTATCAAGACGTAATCTAAGTAAGTTTCCCCCACCTTCAGTCTAAGATTTTGTGCTTAACGTGTGCAATATTCAGCAAACAAAATCCAAGTTTTAAACATATTGCACATGGCAGAGGTTCATGCTGAAGAACTTGTTTCTGGTGATTTGCCAAATTCAACAGATCTCATGCATAAATGAAAAACCTACTAAATTCCAGTAAAATCTCTGAGTCGTAATCATGCTTAGTATAATGTTTCAGCTCAATAACTTGGGTTTAAGCAAATACCGCAGTGTGAGTGTGGCAAAGATTAGATTTGTCGGGATCAGGACTATCCACTCAGGACAATGGACAAGACTGTCTTGCATAATGGAGCCTGTTAAGAGGTTTTCACATAGACGCACTGCCAGGAAATGCACTTTATAAAGCACCCCCACCACCAACACCACCTCTCTCCTCCTCTCTCCCACTTTCACCTCCAATTTTCTTCCATCTCTTTACCATGGCTGCGTCACACCACATTCTGCTTCTTCTATTCCACTTTCTCACCATACTTCCTGTTTGTTCTCTCCATGTGGTGGTTGTAAAGATTTCCTGTAAAGCATCAACCTTTACAGTCATCTACTGCAGCCCACTTCCCATTCATGCTCTCATTGATGTCAATATAATCCACTCCATGCACCTTATCATTTACTGTTCTCAGCCCAGAGCTCATTTTTCTCCAGAAACAGAATCACATTACTGTAACCATGTAGGTCACCCTCTTTTCTCTCTAAGATCAAGGCATTTCTCTGCATGCTTCATTCATTCTCCCTGTGAGATTTGCCCTCCTCATCTCCTTTGTACCATTTCCATCCCTCTAGTTCTTTATTCTTCCCATGTTATCCATCTTTTGACATTCCCAAACCCTCTCTTTTTTAAAGCACTTTCCCCCTACAGGCAGATTCCCCTTGCTGACCAGTGTAGCCACTGACGCAGAGCTTTCTGGGCCTCAAAAGTCTCTCAGCTAATCCTCAGTCTCCAAAGTCTTTTTCTCCCAGACATAACTTTGCTTCGAGAGCTTGTGTCCTCTAACAGCCGAGTGCATTTTCATGTACAACCACACAGTCATGTTAGGGTTGAGCATGGTCAGCAGAAATGTGTCCACCACTACAGATTTGGGAAAACCTGTTTCTACTACAGCAGCTATTCAGGTCAGGCTATGTAGCAGATCAGGGCTGGATTCCTGCATGATTTCGGAAGTCCAGCAGCCTCATAATGTAACGTAATTTGGGCAGACCTGTAACACTTTAAAGTTATTGTTTATTGGAACCTCAGAGCTTCCCTGATGAAAGAATTTCAGTTTTACTGTTTTGAGTCTTTTGTTACTAACTCAAGTGTTGTCTCACATGAAGCAGTTGTTTTCTGTTTGTATGGAAGTTCCAAACAAAAAGAAAAAAAAACATATCAAATGTGATGAAGTAATCCATGGTTATTTTTAACCATTTCTTAATTGAATACACAGAACATTTACTGCATCATGATGTATACCATTACCATGATATAAAATTACCTACACCGTGACAGAAGATTTTCGCCATGTCGCCCACGCCTTACATGCAGGATTTTTTTTTTTTTTTTTTTAAAAATTACCTTTCTTGTTTCTGCTGCTGTGCCTAAACTTTGCAGATTTCATTTTATTCGATTTTTTGGGTGTCTTAAACATCTCGCCAGGGAGAGTGAATCAAAAATAGCCTTTAAAGTAAACTCTGGCTCTTTTCATTTTCATCTGATGGGCACAGAACAAAACTGTCTGAGCAGAGACTTTGATTCTTTCCTTTTCAACTCATGTCACAAAACAAAAGCACTCTCATGTAAGTTCAGTAGTAAGCAAGCAAAGTAATGAGTTATCACTCCACTGTAAATCAAGTGACAAACAAGACAATGTCGTAACACATCTGCCATCAGTCTGACAACGATAAGCCAATATTTCAGTCATTTCGTTGTAGCCAGTGGATATCCAAGGCAATGCACTGCTCATCGTTTATGGTTTGACTGGCAACTTGAGAAAGACCCAGACAACATTTGGCTAATCTCTGTAAACAGATATCTGCACAGAAATCAAGTGGCAACCAAGCGGGGCTGAAAAATGAGGCAAACACATAAGTGCCAAAAACTGCAGTTCCTTGAATGGCCACTCAAGGCTGGCTCTGGAAGCCAGTCCATCCTCACAGACGCCCATGTTAAAATGACCAACTTTACAGCAGAAATAAACATGTTTACAGCCTGGTAGAAAAACAGTTTTGTTTTTTTATAGCTAATTCCCCCCTTCATGAAAACTGTACAGGGATGACTTTTTATACAACTGAACTCACCCATTTACATTTTATTAAAGCTTAAAAGTTACGCATATTTAAGGGCGGGCCGCTTTGAGTGACAGGCCGTCTGCTGATAGTGTCCGAGCTTCAGTCAGATCCACCCCTCACTCCTCCACAGCACCAGCCACTTGCCCAAATATGGTCAATTGTGGCTCCAAAAAATCAAGATGGTAGCAGCTGAAGTGCCAAACTCAAATCAGGAGTCCACAAAACAAGGGTTTTGCAGTATTCTATGATATGAATGAAAAATATCTAATAAATCCTCATATGATAGCCATTGGATTCCAATACTGCCTCTTGGCTGATGCATTCCACCTTTTCTTGCTCTCCGCAGACATCTGACCTGCAGGCATCCAAAGCCTGCTCAAATGTGATTGGTCAATCCTACCAGTACTACAAACTGAACAGATCCTGCATACATATGCAGATCTGTTTATTCAGATTAACTAGCTGCTAACAATGACAAAAAGGTTTTATGTTTTCACCCGTTTTCCAACAGATGGAACAACAGGTAAAAAGCAAACAGGGCAGTGAGCCATCCGACACAGCAGGCAGCAGCCACCAGAGTTCAGTGACTCAGAGAGAACAGCACCATTGATCTCATACAGTACAGGCTGCTGCCAGACAGAGAGCAACAAGGCCAAGTTACTCTGCAGGAAACAGCTTTCTCTTGGGTCCATTCTCATTCCAACACTCCCTTTACAAATGTGAGAAGACTGGACCTTCAGCTCCTCTTATCTTTGTTTATTAAATTAAAACTTTTCTACTAAAGTGGAAATAGTTGAGGAGCACTGTTCTCAGCCTGACACTGAGGAAACTCCAATTTGTAATGGACCACAAATGGGCATTTACATGTGACAACACAGTCTTTCATGGCCTCTCAAGAGGTGAAGCAAGGGGTCAAAATCTGCAAAGGGGCCACAGCTGGGTTAACGCTTGAGAGCACAAACACAGCGTTATCCAAGAGGGGAAGATGTGACTTGAAAATGTGGAGGCACTGAGAAAAACCTGACACATGCAGTGTTAAAGACTGACGAGATGGCTGGCATTATATTCACAACTTTTCAATGAGATATTCACTTAAGTTTTTTATGACTCTGAAGAGGAAAACACATAACAGCAACGTCTTTGCAGTCACTTTAGACTCCTATTTAAAATCAGCCTCAAGTTTCTCCAAACTAAACATAAATGTGTTTTCAGTTTCCTGTGTAATGGGTGTATAAGAGCTTAGGGGCACTGTCCAGGGATACTATAGTGGTTCTTCACTGCTGCATCATCTGCC